ATCTCTCTCTCCCACTCCCTTCCTCTTTGAAATCAAGAAAAATATATTGAAATTAAAAAAAAGAGTGGCAGTGGAGGCAGATGCGGTCTAACCCAGGCAGAAATGCAGAGAGACGTTCTGGGTTAGGGACCAGAGTGTTGGAGCTGTGGGGCTCCTCCCACGGGCCTTGCTCTGTCAGTCCCTAATGAGGGAAGAGCCTATCATCTCAGAGCCTGGGAGAGAGCGAGAGCGCTGGGTGTAGGCCAGAAGGGCTCCCTTTGTCCGTCCAGCCTTTTAAAACAGCTTGGATTTATTGTGGCTCTTAAGTGGCCCAGGCTAATGGCTCGACATGGATAATGTCTTGGTTTAATTGGTTATTGTGAAAGCTGCTTGTTTCTACTGTGGAATCCCTTGTCCCTGCTTTCCCTGCAATCCCTCATAGGTGCCCTGAATCAATACAGCCCTCCACCAGGGCCTGTGCTGGGCGGCCACTGCGCTGGGGACGCAGCCAGCTCACTGGATCGCTCAGGCGCCCATGGGAACCAAGCTCTGACACACAGGGGCCTGCTCCTGGTGACATTATACCAGGGGTTCTAGTGTGTGTTACTGTGAAGCGATGGGCTAGCAACACCTCTATTGATAACTGACCCCTGAGAGTCTTTTAAAAGTTGTTAGAGGGTGCAAATGGAGCTGACAGTCAGAAAGTGACCTCTCCCACAGAGGCAGAGCGAGCAGGTGAGAGCAACAGGTAGAGTCACCCAGAGCCAAGCAAGGCGCTGAGGTGGGGTGCTGCCAGGAGGGACGACAACCTTGGCCAAGGAAGGTGGCATTGATATTTCTGAGAACAAAGAGCCTAGATGATTCTGATTCCTATTACCTCATTTCTTTCCAAGGTCATGAGATTTTTCTTAAGTCTTCCTAAATCTTTTGACCTTAAATAGATTTTGTTCCGATTCTCCTTTAAGGAGTATGGGATATCCGAATGGTTGGGATCCAAAGGCAGCCTGTGTTGGAGCTGAGCACTCTATGCTGGGGTTACATATTTATCTGTCAGTCTCCTGACCATGATCCCTGAGTGGCTTGAGGCAAGGATGCACCGGGACTTACTTGTCTGTGTGCCCCAGAGCCTGGCATGGTTCCTGGCAGAGCATGAGGCTTCATTGAAGTTGAATGAACGTGCCCAGGAAGATTAAGGAAAGGAAAGCACTGAACTGTGACGCTGTATCTTACTGATTCAGACAACTGTTACTTTAATGTTCTCTTACTTATCTGTGTCATATGTTTAATAACCAAAATTTCATGCAGAAGGAATTTCGGAAATCAAGCTTTTTGAAATACAAGTTACAGTATTTTAAGTGGGATCAGCTATAAAATATCTGAAATTTTAATACTTAAACCATAACAATATGGAGTAAAAGCCTGATTAGCCCATCAAGGGGGCTTGCTTCTTCTGTCTTCTGACTCAAACATATATGGGATTTGCTGTCTGTGGCAAGTCATCTCCAACTCATGTATGGTTTTAGGTTATTTTAGTTGTCAAGGAGTTGTTTTATTTATTAGTTATAATATCTTTAATTTCCACTTTAATATATTTAATTTGTGCTTTAGTTATCGTCTTTTCCTTTATTTTGTTGTTTCCTTGAGGTTGAACATCCTGAGTGTGATGATACCAGTTGTTACTTTTTAGGGGGGAAAAAACAACACATACACACACACACACACACACACACACATACATTTAATTTCAGTTTTGTAGGAATCCTTTTAACTGAGTCATTTACACCTGGGCTGATTTCTCCCAAAGGTATGAGTGAAAGAACAGCTGACTAAGCCAGCAATCTCCAAAATGGAGTTTGCACACCCCAGGGGGAAAAACAGCATAAATTATCTGTGTTTGCCTTTGTTTGTGCTTTTATAATATACTAGAGGCCTGATGCACGAAATTTGTGCAAAGGCCTCGGCCCTCACAGCCCCGGCTTTGTCTGGAAGGACGTCTGGAAGGTCGTTCGGCTGTCCGGTCTAATTAGCATATTATGCTTTTATTAGTATAGATTAACATGTTGATGCTAATATAGGTATATGATTTATAAATAAACATAACGCTCAAAAATGCATGCTCAGGATTTTGGGCTGATAGGCATAGGCAATCACATATGTTTAGAGACCTCTGCTCTGAGCATGGATGCTCTAAGCATGATGGGCAGTCTATCGTTCACCAGGGTTCACATCCAAATGAAGGGGAGAAAAGGCAGGTTCCTCCAGCTTTGGGCAGCAGTATAGTGTCATTCCTGGTTGGTGGAGAGATGGAGAGCTTAGGAATATGGAAAGTGTGTGTTTTCTGGTCTCGTTGTCTAAAATGGCACTTTCTTTATAGCATAGGGAATATAGTCAACACTAGTTTAATAACTATGTATGGTGCCAGGAAGGTACTAGACTTATGGGGGGGAGGGAGAATCCTTTTGTAAATTATATAAATGTCTAGCCACTATGCTATACACCTGAAACTAATATAATATTCAATATCAACTGTCCCTTTTTAAAAAGAAGTAACTACAAAAATTAAATTAAAAAATGTAATAAAATGGCACTTTACTTGGGACTTTCTCTCCAAAAAGGACTCAAGCTGGCCCAGTCCTTTTCCCTGCTAAGAACTCTTTACCATGACTGGAGGTCAATGCCAAAGCCAAGGACTGAGTCTTGGGCTGATGCCAACCCAGACTTTGTGCTTAAAACGTGGCATTAGATTTCTTGACTTCAAGGTCATGGCCAATAGGCAATTTAGGGTGGTTTTTTTTTCAATTGTCCTCCCTGCCAAGAAAACTGACAATGCTCTCTATATCCTCTGCAATCTATGTTGATTGTAGGAATGGAGTGTGGATTATACATTGTTGGGTACAATTACCTCCCGGAATACAATGCATCTTTTTTCAGACATCCCAGGGAGATAATTTGGACATAATGAAGATCTATAGTAATCAGATAATTACTATCGATTGCTCTTTAGACGTCTTGATGAGGTAATTAGGGTCTACTGGAAAGAAGCTAGAACTGATTGATTGGCATGACTGTAATCTCAAAGATTTCTAATTATGTTTCTTTTCTTCTAATGGCTTATAAACAAACATCATTTTAGCTTTAGAATTTGTCAGGTGCCAGGTTCACTGGGAACATCAGCTTTCTCTATTATGCTAACTAGACACTGAGCATGAACATGATCAACATAAGCTCATTATACTTGGCTGCTGAAGCAAAAGAAACTGCAATTAACCCTCCCTTTTCTTATGTGTCTTCATTTCCACATGGCCAGCTTCTTATCCAGAATGGAGTGTGAAGTGCTGTAGGAGGAGGTCCAAGAGGAGCATGTGGTTCTGGGCTGGGTGGATCTGTGCAGTTACTGGGGTCCCTCAGAGCCTGCCGAGCTGCAGGCACAGCGGAGCCAGGGCACCATGACACAACATATGTGTCCAGGTGGCAACTGACTGGTTGGGGGCTGGCTGACTGCTCAGGCTCCTGTCACAAGTAATAGCTACTCATCAGCCAGAGAAGTTGAATAACCTCAGCGTCAATACTCTCAAGCAGCTGGACCATGCTGGTCTTTCCGTCAATGTGCTATTGCCTCATCTCTTCCATTAGACACTAATTAGGGGAGTCCCAGTCTGAGACCATTTCAGACCCAGTCTGAAATCCTAACATTTCCTACGCCTTAGAGGACCGCTCAGCAGCTTGCCTTGTTCAGAATAGTGGCCTGGCTCAGAGAGGATGGATGCTGAGAACCGCTAAAGAAGCAGCTTAAAATGAGCTGTCCACATCTAATCAATGATGTTGGTGAGCCCTGCACTTACTGGACGGCAGTCTGGTTCCATAGTCACAGTTCTCCTCTGTGACCCATGTGTGCTTGGTATCCTGGTAGGGGCCCAATACATGTGTGTGAAACGGCCTCTGTTATTGAACCCCATGTTTTCTATTGAAATCTCACCAAAGAAGAAAATTTACATTTTTATAAAATCTGTTGTTTTCTTGAACTCCTATTTTTTTTTTAAAAAAAGGTTGCAATGTACCTCATATTTGTGTCACTAAAACGTTTAAAGCATGAGAGGTGCACAGCGAGCACAGGGGTGCTGTAGACAGCAAAGGAGACCCAGGGTATTTTGTTCATTGATCACCTGTGGTTTGATGCTGTTTGGATAATTGCAGCTGTAGTGGAAATGCCCCATTAACTCCCATTAACCAGCTTGAGGGATGTAAGTACATATAGAATTTGTCTTCGTTTTACATCTTCATAGTATAAGTAAAGCTATATAGCATTTTTTTATCAGCCACAGTTACTGAGATGTTCTTTTTAAAAGTTAAGCTAAGTAATTGTTTAGTTCAATTATGATACCGAGAAACCTTTCTAATCTACATCAGTATATTTTCCTCTAATAAGACATAGTGAACACAATTCATTTTTTTTGATAACTTGAAATTTTGTAATGGATTATTTCAAACAAAATATCACTATTTTATTTCTGTAGCTATGGAAACTACAAAAGATTGAAAAAAATTCCCCAAACATTCCAAATTTTTGTTCATGAGCTGGTTTTACCATGTCCAAGACATGGGTTTGTTTGCTAGTTACTTGCCCCTTTCCCTAAAAGTTCATTGAAAATCTACTTATCTATTTATATTTCCACCTATTTTTTCTTTTTCTTTTCTTTTTTTTTCCATTTGAGGTTCTTATGGTTATTTTCCTGTATGTGAATAAGTAGTCCGCTTGTTCATCGGGAAGTGCCCTCTGTAATGAATTTGACCCCCACAGTGTGATTGCTGAGGCGGAGTTGATGGTCAGTAGGATCCAGTCACATACACACTGGCAGGGGCTTCAGCTGAAGGGCCTCCAGGCTGCAGCAGTGGAGGTCACAGATTGCACAAGTTAGCAGGGTGGCGGGAAGGCACAAGGAGGAAACACTCATTGGAGGAGAGAGCTGATGAAAGTGATACAATTCAGTAACTTGCTTTCGGTTTGGGCCATGTCATTGCAGGAAGTTTTGCAGCTTGAGAGACAGATGGGAGGACAGCTCCTAGAAGAACCGAAGGCTCTTCATTTCAAAGGCAGCACCCACAACCTGCGCCTGTCCATTCACGACGTCGCCCATTCCCTCTGGAAGAGCAAATTGCTGGCTAAGTATCAGGTAAGGTGCCTAAGATGAACTAAAGATTAGAGCCAACTCCATGAGGGAGGACTGCACTTATTAGACATAACATATTCCCTTTCCTGGAGTTAATCAGACATACATCAGCACTTGTTTCTCCAAACTAATTTAGGATCATTTGAGATTTTTGAAAAATACTCTAGACATATTTGAAGGAATGCCTTTTTCTTAATTCTCCTTCAAATAATTGAACTATCATTGTTTTAGTGCTAGCAAATAAGACTTCCAAGTCCCTCATGACATTCTCAGGGTAAATGTTTACATTGGCTTGATTTTAAAAACTCTTGAAGGCATTCATAAGAGAAACAGAAGAACACTGTTATCCCTCATGACACAATTAGGCTTTGGCCTTGCTAGGAGAGTCCCTTTACTTTGAAAACTTAGAAGAAACCCCAGTTTTGAAACTGAAATAGAATGTAAAATAAAACCTGGGCCCTGGCCAGTGTGGTTCAGTTGGTTGGGCACCATCCCCTGCACCAAGCGGTTGCTGGTTCGATTCCTGGTCAGGTCACATGCTCAGGTTGCGGGCTAGATCCCCAGTAGGGGGCGTGCAGGAGGCAGCCGATCAATGTTCTGCTCTCACATCAATGTTTCTCTTTCTCTCTCCCTCTCCTTTCCTCTCTCTCTAAACATCGATAAAAATATTTTAAAAATAATAATAAAACCTGGTCAGGATTGTAGTAAATATTAGCATACCGACCCCAAGCCCCATTGTATGTTCCTGTGGAAAGAGCATAGGGACTCTTCAGGGCTTTGCACCTCCTCCTCCGTCAGCCTGAGCTATCAGGAGACTATGTGGCAGGATCTCTAGCCTCATTTCCAGTCCCGGAGATGCAGACACACCTCGATAAGCTGCGCAGACTGGTCTACATGCATGTAAATCCCATCCCATGCCAGCACTGCGACTGGACTGGTTGTGGTTTCCTGGTGTAAGTCAATGAAGATGCTAGAAGGAACGAAGGGGAGATTGTCCAGCTCCATTCGTATTCTCATATGTCTAACACTCACACATACATGGTGGGAGACAAATGGATAGCAGTCTTGCGCTTTGATGGGGGTGCATGCCGGAGTCTTCTTTATCACTCAGCACTTGATTGAGAGATCTGGCTTTTAACTTTCTCATTAAATCTCTTCCTTTACTTTCTTCTTCTCCCTAATTTGCAACTGCCATAAAAGTCCACAAGTCTTCCCCTTTTATGAACAATCTCCTTTGTGTAATCGTAAGGGGAAATCGTACGTTTATAATAATGATTATCTGCTATTAGTTCAACTAAGGCTGGCTGAATGCCTACGCTCAGCCAGACACTCATGCACTTTGGTTTACCTATCTAACGCCAGCTGGTGTTGGACTTAGGTATTCGTTTGCTTACTCTTTCGCAGATGAGGAAACTGAGGCATGGAAAGGTTAAGTAACTTGCCCCAAATCACCAAGTAAGTGAGGGGAGTGTGTCCTCATTTGTACTTCATTCTCTGCCTTTAGCCACCTGTCCATCCGTTTTTTATGTATCAACCTTTTCTTTCCTTTATTGAAACAGATTTTAGGATGGGCTCTGTAAGGGAGTCTAGACTTGTGAAAATGCACACACAGTGGAGCCCCAGTTAGAGGCTCAGTGCTTGTAGGCCAAGGGCTTTTCTGCGGCAGCTAACCGAGTCTACAGTTCCCAACGACAGTACACGTTGCTTTCCCTCTGTCCTGTGCAGAGGGAGGATATGGGCATGAAAGGGACCTGGATCAGCCCACTGTCCTTTAGAGCTTCTTTGCTTTTCTGCAGAACACCACAGCAGGGCTTCCTTTTAATGAGCAATGACTGGAGTGTGCAGGTTTTATTTAATCCATTTACAATGGCTTTTTTTTTTTTTTTTTGTAAATGAGAGACAAGTGGCAGACTGTTTGGTATAGAGATTGTGGAGGCTGACTTCCTGGGTTCAGGTCTCAATTCTGCCACTTACTAGCTGTGGGGCTTTGGCTGGCTAATTTAACATCTCTGGGCCTCAGTGTTTTCATTCGAAAAGCAGTTTGGGATGGATTTATAGAGAGGTAGGCCTGTTGTGATTAAATGAGGTAGTATGTGTAATGCTGAGAAGAGTACTTGGCAACCCAGTGTCTGATAGTTCACCTTTGGTATTAGTCACTCATTTGTGGTGAACACGTTGGTATCCTTTAGGAAATTCCTTTCTACCACATCTGGAGTGGGTCTCAAAGAAACCTCCACTGCACATTCACTCTGGAAAGATTCAGCCTGAACACGGTGGAGCTGGTTTGCAAACTGTGTGTGCGACAGGTGGAAGGAGAAGGGCAGATCTTCCAGCTCAACTGCACCGTCTCAGAGGTAAGAAGCTCCGAAATCCGGGGACAGAATGACCGTGGGGAGGAGAGACAATGTGGAGAACAAAGGTATCTTGATACAGGCCACATAGGAAGTCCTTAAAAGCTTTCTATAGGTCTTATTTGTTAATAACATGATATTTTAATGAACACAGAGAGCTAGATACATCCTATATAATAAAAGGCTAATATGCAAATCGACCAAACAGTGAAACAACTGGTCACTATGACGTGCACTGACCACCAGGGGACAGATGCTCAATACAGGAGCTGCCCCCTGGTGGTCAGTGCGCTCCTACAGGGGTGCGCCGCTCAACCAGAAGCTGGGCTCAAGTGCAGCAGCAGTGGTAGGAGCCTCTCCTGCCTCTGCAGCAGTGCTAAGCCGTCAGTTGGACATCCCCCAAGGGCTCCTGGACTGTGAGAGGGTGCAGGCTGGGCTAAGGGACGCCCTCTCCCCAACTACATGAATTTCATGCACTGGGCCTCTAGTAAAGGAATAAAATAGGGAATCCTTTCTGAAAAACAAGTCTTACTTTTATGACATAAATCGAAGGATCATGTTCTAATGTTCTACAGCAGATCTGAGTCCCAAATATAAGGTTAATGTAAGTAATGTGCACATGGAGTAACTTTCCCCAAAGCATCCCTTAATGTGCTACATCCCCACCTCGGCCACCTCTCTTCCCTGCCCCCTTCTAACCTTAGGGAGCTCATCTACCTTTCTGGAATCATGTGCTGCCTACTAAGGTGGAGGAAAAGAAACTGGCCTCTGCCCCCACCCCTCCTTTTTTCTTCTCTTTCCTTTTCCTCCTTGTTGAAAGGAAATATCTCTGGGAAACATCATTCTACAAATTTATATGCCAGAGACAGGGGTGGGTGTGGGAAAAATTTCCAGTTATAGCAAATAAGCCATGAGAAGGTCATGCACAGCATGGTGACTGCGTTAACAATAAGGTATTGCATCTTTGAAAGTTGATAAGAGGGTAGATCTTAAAGGTCCTCATCACAAGAAAAAATAACTGTATATAAGAATGGATGTTAACTAGGCTTACTGTGGTGATCATTGCACAATCTACACACATGTTGAATTATATGCATAATACTAGAGGCCCGGTGCACAAATTCGTGCACCAGTGGGGTCGCTTGGTCTGGCCTGTGGGATCGGGCCAAAACTGGCTCTCCAACATCCCCCAATGGGTTCCAGATTGCGAGAGGGTGCCGACCAGGCCGAGGGCTCCCCCCCTCCCCGAGTGCACGATCGGGGCAGGAAAGAGACACAGGAGGTTGGCCAACCAGGGAGGGACTGTGGGAGGGCTCCAGGGCGTGTCCAGCCCATCTTGCTCAGTCCCGATCAGCCGGACCCCAGCGGCAAACTAACCTACCGGTTGGAGCATCTGCCCCCTGGGGGTCAGTGCACATCATAGCAAGCAGTTGAGCGGCCTTAGCATATCATTAGCATATTATCCTTTGATTGGTTGAACAGCCGACTGGTCAAGCAGACACTTAGCATATTAGGCTTTTATTATATAGGATAAGGCTCCATGTCAATTATACCTCAATAAAGATAATTAAGAAAACAAAGAAAAGATGTCCCCTTCCCTGGGGTAGGATAAGTGTTCCATAAATAAAAGTAAAATCTGTGGATTTCCCCCCAGTTGCCTCCCTTTGCCTTTCTCTGCTGTGATTCTCACTCAGTTCAGTTGGTCACTTTCCTAAGTCCCCACTACAGAGACAGCAACACACGCTGCTACGTGTAAGCAAGCACTCTGTGTGGAAAGAGGGTGCCAGGAAGGGATCCGGTCCCCTGGTCCCTGGGGTTGTGGTTTGCCAGTGGACACCCTGCTGGGAACAAAGGATGCAGAATAAGCAGAGTGATCAGAGGCAGCTCGCCCAGGGCCTGGCGGGACTCAGCTCCGTGCTGCGTGCTGAGCCGCAGCGCCGGGATCCTTGTATTTTAAATCACAGCGGACAGCCTGTGATTTAAAAGACGGCTTCTCCCTGGCTGTCTTGGGCGCAGTGAGGAATGAAATGTCAGGCGGTGCAGCAAGCCTCGCTCTGCACGTTGTATTTACAGACTGTCTTCCTCTGCCAGCCAGGGCGGGGAGCCTCAGCCTCCAGGACGCTCCATCCCTCTTCCCACAGCCTGCCCGGCGGTCATCATTTCCTCCTGGAGTTTCAGGAGACTTCTGACTCATAAACAACTTTAGTCACAGACCCCGTGACATTCATCAGGAAGGAGCTGGGTGTCAGGGTGCCATGGCAACCGCAGGGCCCTCCGCGCAGCCCGGTCTCCCCGCGCACAGCACCACCCCTGCTGGCTCCGGAGGGTGTGTTCACTTTCCGGGCCCAGCAGGTCTGCAAAGTTCAATAACCACCCAGGCCCTGCGACAACAAAGGCTGCAGGATTTTGGAGGGGGCAAGGAGGGCTGCCCCTTTGATGCTTGCTTTCTGTTCAGCGGGAAGGCTGGCTGTGTGATGAAAAGGTGGATCAGATGCGCAGAGAATGAGAGCGAGCCATGGAGGGCCCTTCCCCACCAGGTCCGCCGCCCCCGCCCTCTGAGGGAAGAGACAGTCCTGCATAGTGTGCTCACCATGTAAGGACTTTCTTGTGCCAACGTGGAGGAAAAGAGGATTTCTTTGGCAACAACGTGGTGGCAGTCAGCTCAGAGAGGCCAGCCCTCAGTCCCCTAGAAGGCCTGTGCCAGCCTGGTATCAGAGGGAGGGGCAGAAATCACCGCAGTCAGATGACTTTGGGGATTAAAGGGCTCTGTGCTGCTCTTATTTCTGGGTCACTGAGTCCCACTGTTGTTAGCATTTGAATGCGGTGCAGGCGGCCCACCGAGGGGGGTGGGAGGAGTGTGGGGCTGGGTTCTGAGGTTGGGGAGTGAGCCTCAGCTCTGAGCAGTTTGCTCTGGAGGGCCTGAGCCCGGGCTCCTCATCAAAAGCTCCCACAAGGGGTGCACTGTGATGGACAAACCATAACCAAACAGAGAAAGGCTCCATTTGTGAGGTCTTTCTTCTCACAGGGCTCCTTCCTAGGGTCACCCGCAAGCTGGCAGGTGGACAGGGTTGCAGTGGCCATGTCCTGCCTCCCAAGCATGAGCTGACTTGCCAGGAATGTGCTGCTCGCGCCTCCCCCTCCCTCCCCCCGCCCCGCCCCCAGCCACCCACCTCTCCAGGCCTCCCCAGCATTCATTTATAACGAGACATGGCCCTTGGCCTCTGCAGTCAGGCTGAGGACCCCTGCCCGCCAGGGAGGCCAGGCTGTGCTTGACATAGACCATGGTGATGTCAGGAGCCGGCAATTGTTCCTCTCCAAGTGCTTTGGCCAGACATTTTTTAACTGGAAACCAAGCCTGTAGTCTCGCAAAGATGAAATTTAAGAATGAAAATGTCTGCCGGCTGGTGTGGCTCAGGGCTTGAACCAGGAGATCACTGTTGTTTCCTTGTCAGGGCACATGCCTGGGTTGCAGGCTCCATCCCCAGCTGGGGGGCTAGGTCCCCAGTAGGGGGCATGCAAGAGGCAGCTGATAAATGATTCTCTCATCATTGATGTTTCTATCTCTCCCTCTCCCTTCCCCTCTGACAAGAGAAATATATTTTTAAAAAAAGAAGAATGAAAATGTTTGAAAAGTATGGGCATCAGTGAATGTCAAAATGTAAATGAGAAAAGTTTTTGTGTGTTTTTTAGAGGGATGGAGGAGTAATAACAGGGAAGCTACCCATCACCACCAAGAGAGAAGCATGCCTTCGTCAAGCCTTCCATTCCGTTTTAGCTATAGAGGAAGATCTTATAGCCCCTGTTAACTATTAATACACAACACTTTTGTGTACACAGAGAATAAATAATATTTAAAATGTTCAAAGTAACATCACTCTGCTATAGCCCTCCCATCTATTGGCCTCTTCTGTTTTCTGCACTCTGTTCAAAGCGGCCACTGGAAAGCCTGGGTTTCCTAGTGGACTTTAGGAAGAGTCAGAATATGGGAGTGGAAAGTTGAATCTGCTGCGGACTGGGTGCTGAAAATGCGTGTCGTCACCCATAGCAGCTGTTTGGTTAATGGTGAGAAACCATATGCTTAACTAAGGGACTCACAACATCGTAGACAGATGGTACCCATATCACAAACGATTATTGTAATAAGCATTCTGTGAGTGTAAACTCCGCTTTTACCTGGAAGTGAAGGAAGAGCTAATAGGAACTGAAATTACTAGATGAAATTTAAATGTAACCGTAGAGGTGTATTTTTCTTTTACCGCCAAGGCTGTTGTCAGCCATCTGATAAAAGAGACAAGACATTATGCCCTGTTGAGCTTGTTTCATCCACACAGAAGTGAACAGACACAGTAGCCCGGACTAGAGACTCAGGCTGGAAGGTCCACGTGAAGTGGGGATGGTTCTCTATTCACTAGGAAAAGGCTGACAACATGGAGAGGTGAGCAGACCTTCCTGAGAGCCACGCCTTCCTGGCCCTGGCCCTTGCCCTCAGGATGTAGCAGTGAGAAGAGCCATACTCTTAGTCACATTTAGTTGGAAGGAAGCTCCACACACCACTCTGTGGGGTGGGCGTCTGCCAGAAACTGGCTTCAGACCCTTTCTGTACTAGGAAAAATATTTTCTTCCATTTCAGCAAATATGAACTCAGTAGGTCCCACGTGTTGAGTATCACAGGAGTTCTGAGGATGACCAAAATACTCTCATCTCCAAGAAATTTGAGCAATCAAAGGAAGTAATATATAAATGCAGCCAGCATGCATAGGCAGACTCCGAGGGCTGCAGAAAAGCTGGGGGAAGTGCTGTAGGTCTCCGGGTTGATGGGTGAATTTGCTCAGGGGAGGCTCAGGGTACTTGGTTTTGGTCCAGACTTTGAGGGGTTTGCCTGGCGGAGATTATCTTAAAAGAGGTGCTAGGGACAGTGAGTGATCCAATCTGAGGAAAGTTTGAGTCACATCAAGGCAACCTGAGAAAGACTAGGGTCAGAGTGTCAGGTGGTGGGAGCACCTGGGCATGGGGCCCTTCCATCATGTCAGACCTAGCTCTGCATTTATAGGCATCACCTCTGGGACCTCATACCAGCTGACCAGGAAGATGGTGCTGATACCCCTAACTGCCTGATTAAAAGTTGGGGCTCCGTGTGGCAGGAGGGGCATGTAGTACTTCTCAATGAGGGGGTGGAGAGGCATCAGCTTGGCACTTTCCGAAGATCAGTGTGGCAGACAGGGATGGGGTGCAGGTAAGCAGAAGGACGTTCCTGAGACCAACAGCAAGAAGAGTCTCTGGAGATAGCGCTGTGCAAAGCAGACCCCTCCCTGCAAGAACTGAACCTCCAGGGAGGCACAATCAGGGTGTGGTTGTATTTGAGGGACATGGTGGGTTTCCTCCTGGACTCTGGTGTTATTGTCCACACAAGAAGCAAGCAGGAACTCCATGTGGCGGATGGCAGTAAGCTGTGGAAATACCATGTGCTTTCTCTGCACCTTCCCCTCCCCAACCCGGACATACATGAGACATACATCGTTTGATGCCTAATGTCAGTTTGGGCACTTGGATTCAGACATCCCCACCATAAAGCCATCGATAAACACCAAGCGCTCTCAGATAACGCTTCTGGTTCCCTTCGTTGGAGCCCTGTGTCCTTGAGGACAGGAGCCCTCTCTCCTCAAAGTCCCTTGGGAGGAGCTCCGTGCCCGATGAAGGGAAAGAATTGTGGGTCATGTTTTCATTCAGGGATTCCAACTCCCATTGTTGCTTCTGTGTTTCCTACCAGTCTTTTAAAATCCTGGCATGTGCTGCTGGAGTTAACACAAAGGAGCAAATGAAATCCTGGGAGTCTCCATTTGCCAAGCTTTGGGTTTTGAAGCCAAACACTGTGATGGCAGCCAACACCACTGTATTACCACACACAAAAAAATGTGTTTAGCTCTAATGTGCGTATGCACCCTGTGCAGTGGGATTACACAAGCCTAGCAGTGACTATTGGCTGCTGATCCCAGAATGCAGGGTGCACTGTCAGTCAACACTGGGACCCAGACGGCAGCCAGCCCCGCGCACAGGAGCAGCGAGGTGTGGGGGCTCTGGGCAGTGGCGGCACTGACCCCTGTGCCGAGCCCTGCAAGACACCGGAGTCTCCTTGATGGTTGGAGCTGTGTGTGTCTCCTTTATCCTCCAGCAACTCATTACGTACACCAAGGAGCTACCTGCTTTAGAAAAAGAGAGAGAGGTGACATTTAAAGTAGATTAAGGAGATTTTCTTCCGTTATTGCTTTAATCGTTCCCAGGCAACATTTGCTTTTGCTTTTCCAACCGGCAGCAGATCAGAAAATGATTAGAGTTTCTCCTACAGATGAAATTCGGATTTTTGCATTTGTGCTGCTTTATGAGCTGAAAGTATTTTAAAAGCCCATGTATGGTTCTCTCTACTAAAATTAGATTTAAACAAAATAAGGGTGTACGGCCATTGGAAGAGGCCATTAGCAGCTTGCCCTATGGCAATATATTGCGTTCACCATTTTCTTCAAAAAATGAGTCTTAATTTGGTATCATTTAGAGAAGAGCTGTGTTCCATTTCATTCAACTGAAGCAGCCAGATCTGTCTCCTGTGGAGGTTAGAGTGAGAAGTTACTGGGGCATTTGCCTGGGGCTTCCCCCTCAGGGCCAGGAAGTCTCTTGAAACTCTGAACTTGTGGCCTTCTGATCTCAGATCTGTTCAAGATCTGTTCACTCATAAATAATCCAAGGCCATGCAAAGTCAGCCCAACATGTACCTTTCCTCCCAGCCAGGTCGCAGATAGCTAATCACAACTCCCAGGCAGGAAGAAGCCATTCTTACTAGGAAGAACAGTGGCCCCCATCCTCTTGTTATTGCTCAAAAAGGCATTATGGTGACTGGGACTGCTTTTGTCTCCGTAAATAATGCTGCGTTGTTCCTGTGCCTGAACTACAGGAACCTACTGGCATCGACTTGCCTCTGCTGGACCCAGCGAGCACCATCACCACCCTGACAGGCCCCAGTGCCTTCAGCATCCCTCCCCCGATCCGGCAGAAGCTCTGCAGCAGCCTGGATGCCCCCCAGACAAGAGGTCACGACTGGAGGATGCTGGCGCACAAGCTAAGCCTGGACAGGTGGGTATGGCCAGAGCCAGGACTAGTTTCTGTTAGACATAAGGCTCCAGGCTGGCAACGGTTAGACATAGGGCGGCGTTCTTCCCCTCCCCCCCCCCCATACATCTATTTACTTTCATTCTGCAAATGTGCATTATGCTTCTTCTCTGTATCTTGCAAACACATTGCTGAGAGAAATTCTGGGCTTATCTGACATTTATAAGTGTCAGCTTTTGTGATTGACTCTGCAAAGCGGATAGGCTGAATCCCCCTAAGTAATATATCCACTCACTAAAGTAGTTATTGTTCTCCGTCTCCTGTAGAGCAGGACCTCCAGCCGCATGAGTCACTAATATGCAAAACGCAGCGTTGACATTCAGTTACAGGGAGACCTCAGAGGCCTGGTCCTTGTAAAACGTTGCCATCGCTACCAAGCGGGAGACACGGCGTGACCTGTCAAAGATGGTCAGAGCCTTTTCTGGAAGGAAAACCTAAGTCTCTTGATTTTCTGTTTAGGATGTGACCCATACACATGTTGTCTCTTAAATTATCTTACTCAGAGTTGAGGTTAACAAAGTTAAACATTACATTTCCTGTCTGGGGCTGATCTAATTAAGTATGGGCTAGTTGTTTAGGATGGTTCACTGGAAAACACAGTTTCTCTCTCAAGCGAGACCTAGAGACTTAACAGGCAAATGGAGAGACAGAAGGGGTTGTAAAAAGTAAAGAGAAAATTGCCCGGCTGGTGTAGCTAAGTGGTTGAGTGTAGACCTATGAATCAGGAGGTCACGGTTTGATGTCTGAATTGTGGGCTCAATCCCATCGTGCAGGAGGCAGCCTGGCCAATCCATGATTCTCTCTCATCAATGATGTTTCTTTCTCTCTCTCTCTCTCTCTCTCTCTCTCTCTCTCTCTCTCTCCTCCCTTCTTCCCTCCCTCCCTCTCCTTCCCTCTCTCTGAAATCAATAAAAGTATATAGAGAAAATAGACCTGTAAATTATGCCATTAAGCAGCACATTTGCTCATTCCCAATTACAGGTACTTGAATTACTTTGCCACCAAATCAAGCCCCACTGGAGTAATCCTGGATCTTTGGGAAGCACAGAACTTCCCGGATGGAAACCTGAGCATGCTGGCAGCTGTCCTGGAAGAAATGGGAAGACATGAAACCGTCGTGTCTTTAGCAGCAGAAGGACAGTATTGACCCACGCCGGACTGAATGCACAGGGAGTCTGTGGCCGTCCCGGGGATCACAGCTGAGGAGGAAACCCAGACCAGACCAATGAGCTTCACAGGCAAGATGGCAGCTGGAGAGAGAAGGAAAACAGATACGAACTACCGCTATATACGCCCACTTTATGGGACCTCGTCACCGGAGTTAAGAACAATTGTGTACATTTGTACCTTGAATTTAGAAACCAACCTAATTTTCCTCTTTGTTGGGCTGTATGCTGTGTGGTACAGGATCTTACAGTTTCCTAGGAAACGCTTTTTATTGCTATCCAGATATATGGATAAACTTTCTTAACAAACCCAATTTCTACAAACGTTGTTTACATCAAATTGGACAGGGATGCAGACACTGTCCATGGCTCGTTCTATTTTTGTTTAAATCATTTGAAGTTGAAGCTGTGGACGGTTTGTTGTGTCTATTTCAGATTAGTGATTCACAGAGAAATCACAGACTTTTGCTACAAATCACGTGCATCAAGTGTCTCAGATAATCCTCCCATCGTGTTCTGTTTCTAGAACTTGTAAAACCAGTGTTACTGTTTGTATCAGGGAAGTGGAGAATCTAAGTGTGAAGGAGAAATAGCTAAGAGTCCTTATTCCTTCGGGACACCCACCCGGTGCCCTCTGGGAATAAAGCTGCAGCGTGGCAGGAAAGACAGTGATTCACGTTCAACCACACAAACAAGCATTTCTTCACAACATGTGTGTTTGTAATATGCAATCTGAAGTGGTGTTTTTTAAGGTATCATTATTATCATTATTATTATTGATGAGTATTTACAAGTATTCTAGTAAAAGGCTTTTCTTTTAGCTTCGGTTTTTGTTAGCAGTACTGTTAGTATTTAGCTATTGACTAGACCTGCCTCACCTTCTCCCATAACAAGGTGGGCGTGGTCACCAGTTTAATTAAACAGGCATTGCTTCCTTGACCTTTCATCTTTTCCCACCATTCTGCCCCAGAAAGGTAGTAAATGCTACTGGCTTTGTCCGTCTGTTCTTGCGGCTTGCTCAGGCAGGGTCTTTCTCCTCTGAGTCCTCTATTCAAGTTCACTTAATATTGGGGTCATGTGGCCCCACACTAACTGCCCTCAGGACTCTTTCTCCCTTAGAGGCAGCGGGTTTGGAGGAACGGCCTCTGACATGGAAATCAGGAGACCAATTCTCATTCTGGGTTTGTCATTGTCTAGCTGTGCTCCCTTGGGAAAGTCATTTAACCTCACTAGACCTCAGTGTCCTCGCCTGTTAAATAGTGGGGTGGGGTTAGAGAACCTCAAGGTTCCAAAACGCTGGGCCTCCACCCCAGTGCCATTCATCAGTGTGAAGACCACAGTGGACTCTGAGCTGGATCATTTAAAGATCCATCAAGGCTAGACTCTTGTCCAGGCTACATTATGCCTTTCAGATAGTTCCAACTTGGAAGACAATGATTCTAACCTGTAACATATTTGTTATGCTTTCAAGTCTTGTCTTTGCGTCATTGGATTATGCTGTTCCCTGAGAGATGGCATCCTTTATTATCACTTTCTTTCCTCTCTTGGGACTATTTGCCTTCCTGGTTAGTAGCAAATTATGTTCTATTATTGCCTTGGTCAAAATTTTTAAATTAAAAAAATTTTTTAACTGAAAAATAGTTCATCAAGGGACTATTTTGTGTAAACTATGATACAGTATTTCCTTAGGACCATCACAGGCTCTTTGTTTTAGCGCAGGGACTCAATTCATTCAGCAGGCGGGGATTAGAGAGTTAACAGCCCAGTGGCCTAGCCAAGATTGAAAAACAAGAAGCCACGTAGTTGAAGAAGAACTTTCAAAACATGGCTGTGGTTGACTTTTGGGCTAGAGGTGTCCAGGTTGCTGAATGGATTTGAATTAGAAGTAATTTCAGATATTTCTTCCTTCTTTCCACATTTATTTCCTCTCCTGACTATTTTTGGTGACTTCTAGATATTTCCAGCCCCCTCCATCTTTGTCACTGAGAAAATATTGATACCTTGATATGGAGCCTTTTCTTCCAGACCTTTTATTTCTCATTTTCTGTTGTAGGTATGTATTCTATAACCAGTCTCTCTCAGGCCACTCCCTGCACCATATATAAAATATGTTACACTTATCATGAAAGGGAAAGATTGCACTAATAAACAATTTCAGTGGATAATATCTGTACCAATGCATATTTGACCAAAAGATAGTAAAATTGTATTCTACATTAAAAAATTGTAAATATATATTTTTTAAAATGGAGGAGGAGAAAAAAGAGCTATTATCCATTGCTGCATCTTAAAATAACTTCTCAAGATTGCTCATCATTACTGGTTTGGGAGGGTTGTCATCTATGGAAATCAAGAATTAGAAATCTGAAGGCTTCTCAAAGGAACTTTCATGCCTAGTGAAAAGTAGAGAGGAGCAAATATCCAGCTATCCAGATAACCAATTCAAAACTTGAACTAGAAAAAAAATCATTAAAAAGTCATAAACGCAGAAATATTGAACACAGCAGGCAGGGACTATATTATCAAAGCCATCGAGGGCCTTTGGCGTTCACTTCAGAGGCTTCATGTTTTTGGGTTCAGCATCCCAGCACCAGAAACAGGAAGAGTGGTTGATTCTTTATTAAGTAAGGTACTCATCTATCATCTGTTGTAGAACCCTGTTATGTTTCCTATCAAGTAAATGGCAACTTCCATACTTACAATGCACCACTTATGTCAGATAATCTTCACTATGAATTCTTATTTCCTTCTTTGGAAAAGTGTAATAACTGTTAGTTTGCTCTCAAACTTAGAAGCTCCAGAGCCAACATTTCATTTCAAGGGAGTCACTTCACCAACCATTCTATGTGACCAGTCCTGCCTCTCATGCTTATTTAGCTTGTGCAGAAAGACAAGGCTTACTTCATTTGGAAGGGAATACCTATCACTTGTGCATGGTGCCATCTAGTGGTGCATAACACAATCTACTTTCAGTTTAATATAAAAACACTAAAAGTTGTTTGACAAAGGAACTGAAAACCTGCAGAGTCAATAGGGCCTTTATAACAAATAGATGTGCGAACACTTCACTTCAAATATAGTTTTCGTATTCTCACTTTTTTTCTTCTCAATTAAACTACCCATATCAAAAATTGCATGTCATTATGAGCATATTATGTCATCAACTCATTCCTACATGACACATCTCAAGTCGGATTTTGATAATAGAAATACATAAGCATCTTTATAAAACAATCTTTGAAGAATTGTCATTTTAACATTTATATTTTTCATTGGGCTTTATATTAAATCTTTATTTTAAATCTCCTTATTTTTGGTCCTCTAACATTTATTTCTGGAAATGTGAGATGCATCCGCTTGGAAAGAAATGTTTTATGTATGAAAATGAGTACCCTATGTCTAAGTAACTGAAAATTGTGGCTGTTAATCAAGGAGAAAAAAAAGAAGCTTCTTTCTTCTGAATTTGGGGACCTAAGGGCAGAAGTTTTCTTTTCTTTCTTTCTTTCTTTTTTTTTTTTCCTCACCACACTCGTTCAAATTTCCTTAAAGTGATCTGGAAGGACTAGAAGTTGGATTCAGAATTGACAACTGGGCATGAGGTGATGCGAATGCGTAACACCAAGGTCCTCCCAGCCAACAGCCTTTCCACACACAGTGTGACTGACTACCAACGTGGAACCCACCTCAGTTACCTAGAAAAAACCATCCCCCATCAGCAGTGAAGGCTCCTCCAAGGCAGGGCAATATCTTGGGTGAGGTGTCCAATATTAAACTGCTTCACCATTGGCTATTTTCATCTATCCTACTATTCTGTAGATTTTCAATTCACAACATTCAAATAGTAGACCATTCTTTAGGGAGACATCAGGGAGACTGAGTTCAGGACACTCTGGCAACTACACATGTAAGCATATATTTGAATGGCATTAATAGAATCAAACTTATTACTTCTTCTGGAAAGGATCAGACAAGGCTCTTTTCTTATGTACCCTCTGCATCTACATCCGGGACACAGCTGTGCTCTTGGTCCACTTACTCTTCTGTCATCAATGTAGGAGGAAGGGAGCCAGTGAGGGGATCACTATCTCCCCAGAATTCACAAGTGAATAAAAACCATATGAAGACCTGCAAGAGAGTGCAAAGGAGGTGGGGAAAGTTTCCAGCTTCAGGTTGAATGTCAGCTTTAGCTTTTGCTGAGCAGTTGCTCAAGACAACTTATCTGTTTCACTTAGAGACCTCAGTACAACTCCAAGGCTGATGCAAGACAGAAGGACCAGGGAAGCAGCTGAAATGAAATGGGGTTTAATCCATCTTCTTTGAGAACAGAGGAACTTTTGTGAATCAGAAAGTGTTTGCTCAAAGCCAACTATTTACAAAAATGATAATAGTCAATGAACATTAAAATTTATAGATCCAATAAGGAAATATTTTTATTCTTATCTCAAGGTAATAAAACTTTTTTTTTTTTTTTTTTTTTTTTTTTTTACCTTTCGAGTGCCTCGTAGGACCAACTATTACACATTGGGTTTTTTGTTTGTGTTTCTGGATATTCTTTTGTTTTTAACTTTACAGAGCTAATGTTGACTGAAATTCTTAAAACTTTGCCACTGTGCAATGAAGTGCTGTTTCTCTACCCTAAGAAATCTATTTGTATAATCTTTGACTGTAACGATCATTTTGAAAGATTTCCCTTGTATCTCTAAAGATTTTTTTTAAATGGAACAAGGCATAAGAGGAATAAATACATTGTAAGCAATGTTAATTTAAGCCTATGTCCCTACAGGTCAAGTAAACCAAAAAAAGTCATAACTATTTCCAGAATTCATGCCTGATAACCTGCTATTTTTATAAAGTAGGGAGATGGTCTTATATGTCACTGGGTGGGTTTTCCCCATAGACCAAGTCTAGCAATTAACTTCCTGATCCTTTAGTCTTACCAACCTATGATTGCCTCAATTTCCAGAAAGCCTACTTCAAAAATTTGTCTTCAGAAGAATTGATGGCTCCCAGATTTCCCAGTGGCCTGTCACCTCCCTGTATTGATCTTTGGTGGGATAATAATGGGTTAATTCAACCAAATGTAATGTATGTCCCAGGTGTATTCCAACATGGTCAAGGAAAACATCCCTGGGATGACAAAAACTCCACCCAGGGACTAGCACACAAAACCAAGCCCTGCCGAGGGGCTATTTGCCATCCTCTGCCCCCGGGGCACTTGTGTATTGAGATCTGTCCAGAGGTCTTCCGAGTCAGGAATCCATGCTGAATGTCTTGAGGGTCATGGCCCACCAATGGTTGGGTAGAAAACAGGAAAGATGCCCTCAGATACCATCGGCTGCCCACCAGCCAAAGTATATGTTACAATATACCAGCTTCTCAACGTGCCATTTCAGATTTGTGCCTCGGCAAAATTATTAGCTCCAGGCCATAGCACTTCAGGGCCCCTTTCAAGTATGCCTCCATCCTGTGTGTCATCATCCTTCAATCCCAAAGGTCTCCTGGGATGGACACGGTCAGACCTGCTGTTGAACCCCACGGCACTGACCCCCGGTCATAACCTCAGTGCTGGCCTTCAGACCCTGAATGGTGGGCAGGTTTTGCTGATCAGTAGCCTACAGGATAAGGAGATCTGGGCCTCTAGACCTCAGCATGA